CTGTGGTGCACTCCTCTTTCCTACACGGGGTGTCCGGAAGCGATTGGGTCATATTTCAAAAGAAGTTTTCTTTGGAAGTTTTTTGAAATCCATCACTGTAACCTCTATCAAATATTTTTATCTTGATATCTAATTCAAATTTTTAAAAACAGCAATAGCGACTTCAACTGCAGTAGTTTTTTACAAAATCGTTTCCTTAGTACTCATTATAAATGTCTCGGACAGTTTTTTAGATAAAAAACCTCAGTGTAATGTCCAAATATTTTTTGTAGAACTTTTTTTTCTTAATTTGTTATCCAAATTTAAATTTTAGATTTACTCGATTCGGAAACACCTTTCAAATTACGTTAGAATAATTGCAAAGTTGGATAAATTACCAAGAAAATAATAGCCCAAATAGCACACCTTCATCCCCAGCAACAGAAACATATTGGAAAAATATGTTTTCTACATATTGGCCAAACGGCATATTTTGAGATAATAATAATAATACTAATTTTTTAAATCTACTTGTTATATATTGGACCTTTATAGGAATTATACAGGGTGATCGAGAATGATTGACCGTGCCGCCTCATATTGATTTTTGATGTGCGGCATACCAGTTTTTGATACCAATACCACAATCATGAGCGCAGGTTGAGGGATTTTAATGGTAAACAAATAATTACGTTCAAACGTCAAATAAATTAGGTTACTGTCAAAATGGAAATTCATAATAAAAATATCAATTATTTAACAAAAATCAAAGTTATTTCACAAATTAAGCAATACTGATGGACCAATAAATGTTATTATTGTTATTATTATTAAAGAGGATGACAGAATCAAATGTAGGTTTAGCCTAACTTTTCCAAAATTCTTATTTCATTTACAATTAGAAAAACTTTTAAATCAAAGTTTGATGTAGCTAATTTTGAATAACGACTGTAAGTGCTTCAGCGATTTTATTTTTAAAACGTTATGAGTTAATTTTAAAACAGAAGCACTATTGTGGCTACATTCTTGGCATCTAAGACGATTCAGCTATACAGCGATACGCTGCAAGCTGCTGTTTTTCATCAAAGCAAACTGCTGTATGCTTATAAGACGACTATTTTGCAGCTACTGCTTTCACACTTCTGAATATCCAGCGCAAGCGATCCAGCCCAAAAATTTATGCTGAACATTTTAGTTAGCTGTCGAAATTCAGGAAAAGTGTTTTTTGAAGCAAACGATTGCTTCAAGAAAATGCAAGCAGTTGGAAGTGCTTGATTATGTTAGATGGTAGGATTGTCTGTATGACCGAGAGCAATAAACAACAGTTACATGCAATATATAATAACAGAGTAATTGGAATTTTTTCACATTTTATTGAATATTTTACCTTAAAATTACATAAAATCCATAAAAATATCTATATTTTTACAATAAATGTTCAATATGATGTCCATTGTTGTTCAAGCAGGTATTAATTCTTCTTTTCATATTATTAAATACATTCTGTAAAACATTTTGTGTAATACTCCTAATTTCGT